CACACACACACACACACACACACACACACACACACAAAACACACACACACACACACACACACACACACACGCACACACACACACACACACATATATATATATATTATGAATATATATATGTATATAAATATATATATATATTATATTAATATATATATTCCTCATACAAGTACGAAATCCACTCCGCCCGCACCATATACAATTCATCATCCATAGGTGCAAAAGTATACAGAAATACTTGTATGAGCTAGATAGTGATATCAGATACATGATGTATACAACAAAAATACAGTGGGTGAGAATAGTCTATGGTAACGACACCAGTGAAGAATGTTCGTTCCAGCGTAGATCAGCATCGCATTTTGACGACGAAGTTTGCAATACACTCAAGCAAACACTATTTCAAAAACACCACTTCACGCTTCAGATTCAAGTTATATACTGACCATAGAAACAAGTGAATAATTTATCACAGCTATGGCTGTACATTGGCTGAGACATACCATGCAGGTAGAAGATACAAGGTTTCAGCTTGCTACTTGATTCCGTTTGTTTGGTAGCATTGTGACTTCTCGGGACAGCGCAGTAGATATCCATTCGGTGTTTATAACCACTATGGGCGGCGTTGTAAACCACATTTGAATACAACATCTTGCATCTGTATGATACAGAAGGTCCTATGTATATGAAATAGCCGTACGCTATGTGATATTCCAAGAGGGTACTTGCAGACGCTTAAGTTGTTCATGCAACGATCCTGTGCCAATCGATCGAGTTTGCAGTGCAGCAGATTCAGGTGCAGTCACACATTCACTCACTGAGCACTGTATTGTCTAGTATACAACATACATATCCCAAGTATCGCTCTATCTATTTAAATCAGCGTCGTTGCGTACGTATGTGTATATATTAGCATGAATCGTATACAGTACTTGTCTTAGGTATCTTGTCTGCATTGTGAACTCAAGAGTATCAAATCCATGGCATTATTTTCGATGACGGTATTTAGAAGTAATCGAAAATTAGTCCGTTCAGCCATAATTTGATTTTTATTTATGCTTTTCTCTCTACAGTAGAGAGGGTCATGACTCAAAAAATAGAGTATATAAATACAGCCTATAGGCCCAAGAGAAGGTGATCGTTCGAATAAACACACACCCTGTGTGAGATAATGACTACGTTCACTTTGAACTTGCCCGCGCTACACTTGCAAATATCTATCGGTTTGGCTAGAAGAACAGCCGAGTGTATTTATCTCATATAGTTTCGTCTAAATGTGCAAGACCGTCAAATCTGAGCGGTACTTGCGTAGATTCAACGTCCCGGCTCAACGTCCCGGCTCAATTCGTGATCTATATTCTTTACATTAATCGGAATCAACACCTCGTATGCAGAGAGTATGTGACATCCGCACTATAAGCAATACAAACAGCGACGCTTCGTGCGGACCACTCAGGTGCATGTACAAGCGTCTACCAATTTCACGTAGACTTGATGAGCGCTGTGACACTATTCTGTGATAACCTGTTTTTAAGAGGACATTCCCGCTCATTCTAACTACAATAAGACCTTCACAGCCGAGATAGCCTGGGATCTAACCTATGTGCTGGCTGTCACCTTTGACAGATGCGGCTCATCTTGTATTTTTCTAACTGTGAACTATAGGAATATGTATCGCCTCGCCAACCAAATGCTCATCATTCCTAGAGTTTCTGCTTATCCTTATCGTCCTAAGGGTGACAGTGAACTACACCAAGTCGATCTTAAGATCTGTGCGATCACATGGATGCGTGCATAGTTAGTGTATTCATTCAAACACATGTGGAGGTCTATGCGATCACATGACAGGTATGTGCGTGTATAATGTGTATTTAAATTTGACCATAAAACATCTGAACTGTGCGGTATGGAGCTCATATAAACATCACCGACACTCCAACAACAACAGCCGTTCGCACATTTGATTGGTGTAAGGTTGATTTATTGGATTTGTACTATTAATTGCCAGGCCACGTCAGTGTTTCTTCTTGGCTGCTCTAATAGCGACGTCGAGGTCTGCTATCCAGGCCGCATGATTGTCAACCGATTCGAATCGGTAGTCCTTTCCCTCGTGCGACAGCTTGAAAAACTGTTTGCAACAAACGAGTTTATGCGATACCAGAGTAAATAAAGCTGACTCATAATAGAAATGTGCATGCAAACCATTTTGCAGTACCAAATTAATTATAGAACTCGATAGTATAGTATATAATTATTAATCAGCTGGCACTTGTGTCGCTGTCAATGTTGATTTCATTGGCTGCCATTGTAAACGACAGCAGGAAAACTGTGTTGTGTCGGGTGAAACACCTCCGCCAACGAAAAGCGATGCGCGATAGTATATTCAAGGAACATGTGGGCTCTGTAAAACTCTCTAGTTTATAACACTCTAATATGTAATACAATATGGGTTTAATTTTTATAGTATAATATGCGTTTGATTTATAATACAATATGGGTCTAATTTATGATACAATATGGGTCTAATAAATAATACAATATGGATCTAATACATAATACAGTATAGGTCTAATTTATGATACAATATGCGGCTAATTTATAACACATTATGCGTCTATATATAATACAATATGTGTCTAATTTATGATACAATATGCGGCTAATTTATAACACATTATGCGTCTATATATAATACAATATGTGTCTAATTTATGATACAATAAGCGTCTAGTTTATAACACACTATGCGTCTAATTGATAATACAATGTGTCTAATCTACAACACAATAGACGTTCTGAGGACTCATATTCACCCCCTGGTTGATAGCTGACCAACGTGTATAAGGCAGATATCAAGCACTGTAGATGGTAGGCATGTCCAGAGAGCATCACCACATGCCCTAAGGACCACATACCTGATGGTCCGTATCACTGAGTTCCAACTTGTCCAGGCGAACGGACGACTTGAAGACGTACGTTGTGAGATTGGGATTGGGATTGTACAGAACTTCACCCGCACTCTCCTGCCACACAGTGCGTACAGAGAACGGGTCAGTCACATTAGTATGAATATTACGCAGGCAGGCCGTTTAAAGTATCTATTCCAGGAAGTTCACCTTTGGGTATTAAGCTGAGAAGCCCTTTATAGTATCTATTCCACGAGGTTCACTTATGAGTATAAAGTAGACAAGCCGTTTCAAGATACTATTCCACCAGGTTCACTTTCGAGAGAACTGGCGTACACTCAACGTTGTCGCGACGAAAACGAAACAAATTTCGGTACGATATTCATATCTACACTTAGAGTTTACAATCTATATATAACTATTCTAATCCATATACGTATATATCTTTTCCAACCTACATATAGGTTTTCCAATCCATATATAGGTATTCTAATCTACATATAGGTTTTCGAATCTATGTATAGGTATTCTATTCCATATACATATTTGCAGGGTGTTCCGGTGTACCTTGATTTTCCTGCCAAAGTCTCGCAGGCCCTTGGGCACGTACTTGTGTGTTTTCTCCGCCACCACCGATGCTGCGTCCATCACGCCTTTCGTAGCACTGGCCGTATAGCTGGACAAACGCAAGGGAACGCATGTTGGATGTACATACTGAACATTATAGATACGTTGAATGACATATGTATAAAACAATGATTACTTTAAATGACATGAATGAATAAAACGAATACCTTGAATGACATATGTATGAGACAATGACTACGTTGAACGCCATATGTATGAAGTGTAGGATGCACATACTGAATACAATAGATACGTTGGATAACACACGCATAAATCGTACTCTACAAACAAGAATACATTACACTCATACACTTTCAGGAAGTTTCGGGGGGGGGGGGGTGGGGGGTGGGTTCTGAAGATATCAGCATGTAGTTCAACAGAGTCTTCGTACCCAGAGAAAGTTCAAATGATAAGTGATTTTCCAGCTGACTATGGTACACATAGCATGCACAACACATCTGCTCCGTTAACAATAAGCTCAACAGTGCACACAGCGTCCATTCAAGAGACCCACTTCTTGTCATCAAAGGCCACTGCGTATATGAGGATATCGTTGAACAGGAACAGCCGCCGCGGGTGCTTCTGGGTCGGGTCTTTGTGCAGTTGTTTATTGAGATCGCCCACGCGGATGAGTACCCTGGAATCCAAGGTACAGGAAACCAGTGTTACGACCCAATGTATAGTATCTGCAGAGTGTACTAGATATACTGCACGTACGGCTAAGCACTATACTAGTGGTAGTAGGAGTGTGAATCAGTTGGAAAAGCAATCAATGCTTACGAGTGATATACCCTAAGTTATAGTATCTGCCGTGTACTAGATGTATTGCACATACGGCTAAGGACTATACCAGTGCTAGTATGGATGATAATCAGTTGCCTATTCAGGCCGAACCTTAAACCCTAACCCGGTGTATAGCAAATCAGTGTCACCAGCACCACTCGACAGACACTTCAAACCACACCCGCACGTACTAAGCCAAGAAACTGAGTTAGTAGACGATAGTAGACTGTAGCATACTACAGGCCTTGCGGCTAATCAAGGCCTATCCGTCGAGCGTTTGGTTCTCTTGATGCTGTATGTAGGGCAAGCTCAGCACGATCCGATATACATGTTTGTCGGGGAATTAGTACAGAGACGTTCGTGCCCGGCTGTGTGCTGGGATGGGCCACACTCTCAACCCCCCCCTAACTCACGTATATAGTAGACAGTAGCGAATACGATGAATCGAATCGTTCTCAACGCCATACCACTCACTAACAGATGCACTGCAGCACACACAAAGGCGTGCAAAGCATCTGTCCCTTACCGTCCCGGGGTGTGTAGCGCGGGGGTACCGGTCCCCCATAAACGGACCCGGACATCCTCAATGGCCTGGAAGTTCTCGTATTCGCGAATCTTCTCGTTCATCTCATCTGCCACACTGCTGATTACCTTGACAGCCTATGTAACAATATCACAGGGCGTGGGAAAATGCGTGAGATGACAGACTACGGGTATGGGAATGGGCTACAGCGTACCAGATGATCGCGAACCATCCGGAAACATGGCTTGGCACCAAAAATATCTATGTACTTCACAAGGGTTAACACTCGGACTATCTCAATACTTCACCCCAGATACAAAGTGAATCATCTAAGTACTTCACAAGGAATAACACTCGGACTATCTCAATACTTCACCCCAGATACAGAGCGAATCATCTAAGTACTTCACAAGGAATAACACTCGGACTATCTTAATACTTTACCCCAAATACAGAGCATGCACTATAGTGAGGGTTCGCACCTTTTTCAAGGACGCGTAGTCGGGGTCCTGCTCGTCGTAGCTAGACAGTAGATTGACTAGCAGCAGCAGATATCTGGGCACTCGCTGCACCGGTGTGAGCAAAAGGGATTCCAATGTCTCGGGCTGTCGTTTGAGGAACGCATCAAATCCTTCCCGCACAGCCTTTTGTTTCTGCGGTGGATTGTGTACGGGTGAATTTAAGGAGGGCAGGATTAGGGCCAGGACATTGAAGACAGGTTTGGGGCCAACATGATTAGGGCTAGGACATTGAAGGCATGCTTAGGGCTACCAGGATTAGGGCTAGGACATTGAAGACAGGATTAGGGTCATCAGGATTAGGGCTAGGACATTGAAGACAGGATTAGGGTTATCAGGATTAGGGCTAAGACGTCGACGCGTACACGTGATCTAGGACAAGACAATTGGAACTGTTAATGCCGAAAGGTGTAAGTGACAGTGATTCCGGAGTCTCTGGCTATCGTTTGCGAAACGTATTCAGGCTTTTCCGTATCACATTTTGCAACCGCCCTTGTTTGTGTATGGATAACGCAGCGAGAGAGCGAGAGAGCGCATGTTGAGACCTAAATCAATATCGTATGCATACGAAGCCGAGGGCCCGAAGTATTAAAAGCCTGAGCATAAAACATCTGCCCAGATATGAAGTAAAGGGGAGAGGTGGATTGTTAACGATATGTATTCTACTCAGTAGGCGAGTGTGGTAACTATGGGTTGTGAGTACCGGAAGGTGTGGGCACCAGAGAACTCCGGGTCTGTGGCTGTGGCCGTGTCTTGCGACAGTCAGTTGTTGTGTGAAGATGAGAAGACACTCGAAAAAAAGAATTTAACTGCAGTTTCGGACTTTGTACACCTATACGTCGGCGTCTTCGGAAGGTTATCACACACACACATACATACTCCCGTGTAGATGCTATGTCATGACTGTTGATAGTGATTTAACACATACTACAGGAGATGATAATTTAACACATACTTCAGTCGACGATAATTTAACACATACTCCAGTCGACGATAATTTAACACATACTTCAGTCGATGATAATTTAGCACTTACTCCAGTCGATGCTAATTTAACACATACTTCAATCTCAGCCGCAGACTCACGATACGCCACCGCATAGTCCGTGTAGAGGTCTCTGATGAAAGGATACAGGAACAGGATGGCCTCGGTGGTCTGGCCCTGTTCCATTTTGGGCAGGATCGCTTCACTGGTACTGCGGATCATCTGGTGAAGTGGTGGCGGAGAGGGCAGGGTCATCAGGGCCAGTGGGTGACTGGGTTTGCGAGTCGAAGTAGTTGTGTATGCTTGGGTGTATGTGGGCAGTTGACATATGGTTGTGAGGATGGATTCGTTTCGTATAGAGAAAGCAAATCCTCATACGATCGGATCTGTTATTCACGCTCACAGATGTACTATATCACGTTTGTATGTAGAGCGTACTAGAGGTTTAAACAGTTCCTCATTCACCGTAACTTACAGAGTAGTGCTGGGTGTGGTAGATGTACTATATCACGTCGGCATGTAGAGCACACTAGAGGTTTAAACAGTTCCTCGTGCATCATAGCTTACAGAGTAGTGTTCGGTGTGGTAGATGTACTATATCACGTCTACATGTAGAGCATACTAGCGGTTTAAACAGTTCTTCGTACATCATAGCTTACAGAGCAGTGTTGGGTGTGGTAGATGTACCATATCACGTCTGCACGTAGAGCATACTATAGGTATAAACAGTTCCTCGTGCATCATAGCTTACAGAGTAGTGTTGGGTGTGGTAGATGTACTATATCACGTCTGCATGTAGAGCATACTAGAGGTTTAAACAGTTCCTCATACACCATAGCTTACAGAGTAGTTTTGGGTGTGGTGGTGCCTGGTCAGCCACACTCATACCTTTGTGTTTGAGAATATCTTGTCGCTGGCGGCTGTGGGGATCATTGTGTTGCGTTTGGCATCCGCTTCGCGCATGGGCTTCTCAAAGTTCTCATGCAGTCGCTTGAGCCCATCGAAGTATCTGTGTGTGCAGACGGGGGTTACAGTTATAAACCGTCGTGACTTGACGTACACTGCACTGGGGGTTGTGTATGACATATGTCACTTATTAAACGTGTACGATAGTCTATATAGTCTGTAGAGCTTTGAAGTACTTGTGTAGTTTTATGGGTCCCTCAAAGTGTCTGTGTATGCAGATGCAGACCGTGGGTACAGTTGTGAACAGTCCGACGGGGTGTATTGGGCTCACCAATCGCAACGCACACTATCAGCCCAGAACGAGAGTACACGATGCATGCCTGAGACCATGAGGCTTCACCTGCCTGGCAAATGCAAGATACAAGCAACCAACACATTCCACTGACATACACGTGTATACACAGTCCAAGATACAAGCAACCAACACATTCCACTTACATACACATGTATAAACACTCCACCCCAGAGATCTAGCACTCGCTTACGCGTACACATGGAAATTGCGACCAGGAACATTCTCACACTCAATGAGAACCTTTTCATCGTACTTGGACTACACACTGGCATGAGACTCCCCCAACGAGAAGGGTCCGATCGCGAAGGAAAGCTAACAAAAGGCCGACTCAGTAAGCACCTGCGTGCAGATACCAACCCTTTCTGGGCGAGAGGGTTTGGGGTCTCTAGTTATGTCCCCATGTCTAGCTGTAGGTCATACAGGTGCTCAGGTTGCGCATATAGACATCCCAAACTAAAAAAAAAAAGATAGTCTCTTGCGATTGTACACAAACAAACAGAAAACAGACCCACTAACCGACCCATGCGTACCAGGGTACTTGCACTCATTAGCGGCAACATGGTTCCAGATTTGGGTTCTGTTCTTGAACTAAATCTCAAGCAACACTTAGCATGGCTACCAAATCCCAACACCCAGAAGACGCACACAATCGCACACTGACAAACAGAGAACAAATCAATAGCCCAGATTCTTGCGCACACACGCGAGTACTTTCGATTGCGAGGTATTCAGTTTATATCTTCTTTCTCCTGTCTTCGATGACTCAAGCAATACTCGATTCGACTACAGAAGCACGCCAGCTGGCAGTCATACGCTACACTACACAAAGGAACAACCCACAACTCAACGCTACAGATACCAGCGTGCAATACATACGTTTTCTCGGTTGTAAGGATTTCGTTCTCTATTTGCTTTCGCTTCTCCATCTTTTTCATGGTGCTAGCCAGCAGTTCCTCCTCCACAGCAGTATTGGCCTTTGCAAACTCGGGCATGGAGATGTCTGCTAGCACTTTGTGCATCTGGTCCTTTTGCTGATCTGTAAACGAGATCTATTGGAGGAGAAGAAAGGTTGTGTATTGGTGAGAACATGCTGTATGCAGGTGTTATCGTTGGGTACTGATAAACACTAGTGCTGTTTCTATGTATATATATATATATATGATATATATCAAAGGTATCAAATCGGGATCAAAATAGGTGTTTCAAGCAACTCGAAGCGAAATAGATACAGGTGAAAGACTTGGAGAAGGCAAGGGCCTTGATGTCCAGCGTAGCATTTCGATGATTGTCTGGGTTACTGCAAATACAATTTAACGTGTGTGTGAATATACCACATTTGTGCATATCCTCCATCATGAATCACTCGTGTTTACAGTGAACGCGCACGGCGATTGGAGAGTCGTAAAACCACGGATAGCAATTCACTTGAGTCCTTTTTGTATAGTTACTGCGTGGCAATAAATCATCATATTTTTGCTGATATGTTTTTATTATATTATAAATAGCATTAAACATGCCAAATTCTGTCTATATAGACATACCGAGTTCGCAGTCAGAGGGATGATCGAGGGAGTGAGACCAGTTTTTTCGAGGTAGAAACTCAGAGCATGTAGGCAATAGATCAGCTTGGGCAAGTTTTTGGCTTCGTAGATATCGTTAGTATCCGGCATAAAAACCTGAACAAGGGTATTAAGTGTTTAACTATATTATAGCGCCTGTTTACAAGTAAAGCATAGTGACACACACCACCTTGAATACAGTGGAACAGCTTCTTACTGTTCCGATAATCCAACATATTAGGCCCTAACTAGCCGTTTCCAGGCCCGTACCTTGAGGTGCATATATTATTCAGTGTGAATTGCTAAAGTCTTTGGCGGCGTTGCAAACGTCTTCAACAGATACGATGCATTTTCTGCCCAAGCTACGATCCGTTAACGTGGCAAAACAAAAGACGTTTGATCAGGTTAATGTGACGAGCTTGACTACTGAATGATGCTGCGTACCTTAACGAAACACAGCTCATACCTTAGGGAATCCGACATTGATCATGGCGTCAAACCACAGGTTGATATTGTCTGTGTGTTGAAACTTCAGACCCTCCTGAAGGAACAGGTCCATATCGGGATCGAAAATCTGCATGAGGGTGCAATTGAGAGGGGTGGAATATTCTATTAAAAGGACTACCCAGGCTAGTCCATGTGATGAAAATATTCATTACAACTCGTTTCGCTCGGCATAAACGTCTCTGCCAATAGAAAGGTATTCAAGGTTTCTTTATCCCGATGGTAGCAGACGAATCGCTTGAAAGGTGCCATCGAATGCGTACCCTTTCATGAGAACAATAATTGCCCCGGAACACAAATAGGGCAGTGCCCTGCAGGTTGAACGGTTGACATAGCACGGCTAGGCATGAAACTATCAGTCAGGCACACACCACTAAGACACGAGTGAACAGGGGACGCACATCACACCACCCACTGGAGATCCTATCCACGTATAACTTTTCGGAATACAGACATACCAATCGTACTCTAGACGTAACAAACTAACAGCATTGCGTAGTATCTGTGTTAGAACATCCCACACACCTTGGCTTTGGCTGTGGTTTCTGTGCGATCGAATGACTGACCCAAATGTGCCAAGGTTACGCCTGGACGTAAAAACCCCTCCAGCTCATCTGCCGGGGGAAGCGGTGAGCCTGGAAGGCAGACCTCTAACCATCTGTATTGCTTTTCAAATAATAACACTGTGAATAAAAGCTGCGGACTTGCACTTGAATGTATGCGAGAATCAATCGGTTAGAAGAGGAGATTAGTGCATAAACCGATACGCACACGATGCGGTTGTTTCTTTATGAGTACAGATACACTGTTGAAGATTCATACACACAGGCTACGAACAAAATGCAGAACGTCTATTACAAATTAAATATGAAAGTCTATTTCATTGATAACAGTGATGCAATTCACTGAAAACGATCTGCATTATGATATACATATATATCGTCATACAAATGTAAACGAAGAATACCACTACATAAAGATGAAAAACAATATGAATCAATCATAAATTGTTCATATATATA